CGAAGCAAGCAAATAATTCCACATACTGGTGGTTCTAAACCTAATTCAAGAAGGAGGCATCAGATGGTAATCATACTAACAAGAAAACTTTTACTATTTTGCAAAGTTAACTATGTAATTGAATTTTTTTCTATATTAGTTGTTGACAACTGGACAGAATACTAGTCGTGAAAAATGTATCTTGTAACTCATAAGAGAAAAAATGGGTCTTACATAAATGATACAGCAAAGGCGTTAGTAGTAAGTATAACTTGTGTATGTTGTTTTCAAAAGTCTTGTATTACAATGTTAACAGTTTAGTAATTAATAGTTTTTGCTTGGTAAAGGAACAAATTGAAATTGGTATGACCCAAAACACTATTGATGAATCTGAAATTTCTCGCAATGATGTTGTTGGTAAAGTGTTTGGGCTTGAACACTCTGGGCGAGTAAGATGCATGGGTATAGGGGCTGCTCCTACTAATACGTTTCAAAATACTGGACTTCGACGTAGTGATTTGAGTCTCTCTTCATCCAATGTTGCTCCATCGTCATCATGTTCTAACCAGTGTAAAGAGAAGTGCACTCATTTGGAATCCCAACTACAAAGCACCTTGGATGCACTTAAGACCTATATGATAATGAAGGAAGGAAAGATTCCTGATGAATTGGTTGACATTTTCCCCTCACTAGTAAAGTATTATAACTTGTCATTTTGTTCAATGTATAGAGGTATGAAACAAGTGTTTCTTTAACTTTGTGATCTCCTTTTCATGTTTATACGAGATTAGCATTATGATGCATTGAGCCAAAGAGAATTGAAGGTTGTGGCATCCATTATAAATTTTTAGGATTAATAATTGAAATCAAATTTTTGTTCTTTTCTTATAATAGATTATTCCTTTCAATCTTTAGCTTTTGATTATGATCTAATAGTGCTTTTGGATTTTAGAAATTTTCAATTATCTCTTTACTATGTTGTGCATTTGCTATGTTTTACCTTTATTCGTTATACATGGTTTAATTTTGGTCATTGATATGACAGATGCAATAATATAGTTATATTTCTTTCCACATTATTAATATTATTTTATTTTTCATATTTCATCTAAATGATGTTGGAAGTGAACTTGATTCGTCATTAAATGCTAGAGGATCATCTCATGGTAACAACTTGAATAACCAAGATAATATTTAGTGTTATTTTTATCTCATGTTCTCATGTACCACTCTAGGTTTTTATAGATTTAGACCTTTCAATAGTATTGTAATCATTACAGTTGATGAATTATATTTAGTTTTGTTATGGAAGTTTAAACTATTTACCATCCTATCAATGAAATTTGGTTATATTACGAGTATATTTGTAAAGTTATTTTTGTATACAGGTTCAATATAATTTAGATACAACATTAAATATGTTGTGTACGTTTTTAAAAAATTGCTATTATAATTATAACAACATTAAACAGCTAAAAAAATTAAAAATAGGCATCTAAAATAGAGTAGGTTAAAAATTGCTGCAAATAAATTGTCACTAAATTGCCTAGGCAAAAACTCCCACAAATAAATAGCAACTGCCACGATTATGAGAGGCTAAAAATCGATGCAAGTTATAGAGTTCAGTCAAAACTGCTGCATAAAGTTTGTGGCGAACTTATCCATGACAATTTTTCAGAAACGCCGCAATCCATTTTGAGAAGGTCAAAAACTGCTGCAAAATGACCATATAACCGCCACAAAATTATAATTTTCTTGTAGTGTATTATGTAGAATTTGATTTATTATGGTATTGTAATAATATTAAGTTTGTTTCTATTTTTAAATTTATTTAATATGTAATTATATTAAGTGATGATTCAAAGGATAAATTTTGAATGAGTTCATTTTATTGATTCAAGTCTTATATAAATATAATCAAAATTCTTTCTAATACCAATATTTTTTGTTCAGTTAAATCACATTTCAATGATATTTTTTTATTAAATTGAATTAAGAAATTATTTAAATAAAGTAGAAATGTTATATATCCAATTTTATTAAATATCTGAATTTTAAATCTAATTTGACTTATATCTATTTTTTTTTCTAACCCTAAATACGAGTGTGAGAAATATTTTAATACTTAACTACACTTCATGTGATGTATTAAACTTGTGGATAAGTGATGCTGAGTTAGACTTTCTTAAATTATATAGATGATAAATTTTTTCTTAACACTTAATGAACTTGATTAAAAATAATGTCAAAACATATCATAAAATGAATCAACCTGCATATAAATTCATTACTTTCTTAAGAATAAGTTTTGATTGCCATTTTATAACTTTGAATAATTTTAGGTCTTTTGAGTCTAATTCACATAAGTCTATTAATTACATCAGATCATGTTAAATATAACTTTAATTGACAATTTTGTATTTAGTTTATTATAAACTAAATTTTTTTTATCTACTCATAATTGGAAAATCAAGACAAGTCCATTGACCTAAATTGATAACTTTATATTTGTTCTATAACAAACCAAATTTAATAATAATAGTTTAAAATGCAAATGATATTAGGAATTGAGAGAATTAAAAAGAGAAAATAAAAGATGTTTATAAAAATGAAGAGATAGAACTTCAAGAGTTTCCAAGAGTTAACACTCTGTAACAGAGAAAGAGACTTTCTCTCAATTACAATTAAAGAATCAAAACTAACTTTTACAAGTAACTTACTTAGGTATTTATACAACAAAGCCTTATACTCACACACGTGATTACTAATTACCTTATGTAACCAATTTTTCTTTCTTCTAACATAAACCTGTCACTTCTCAAGACTCTTAGCCACATCTAAGACTTGTTCTTCTTTTATGGGCCTAGCAAATTATCTTGAAATTATTATCCTAATATATTGAAAGATAAACAAAATAGTATAAAGTTATACTTAGAAGGTTATCAAACTATCGAACATGACTTGTGAAGTCCATTAGCCAAGATTGTGTCTTAAAAGCCATAAAAACTGGCCTTAGGTTGTTATAAGAGCTATCATCCATGTTACGAGCAATTGTATGAAACTAAGAAACTTATCTCCCTCTCCTTGTCTTTAGCTCTTTAGAGTGGATATTCATGATATATCCATATATAATTTATTAATAGCAGCCATCATATATTTGATGTTGATGCATTCTCACGAGAAAAAAACATGGCTATTCCTTGTCCTCCAAACTCCAAATTGTATACAAAGCAATTAAAAAGCTAATTTTGTTGCTTTGATTAACTTGATCATTCCAACTTTGTAATCCTACACCATAAAAAATGTCATTTACAAAACCAGTAGCTTCGCAAACTTGAATAATCTCCTTCCAATCCTGTAGACAAAGGAAACGAATCTCTTCTTGATATTACATATTTGGTAATTAAATATATATGAGCTCTAAGATTTATTTGAGAGAGTTATGATAGATTAACCAAATAAAAATTATTCTATGACACCTCAAGCTTCGAAATCTATATCTCCACCTTTAGCATTCTTAAAACTGTTATGCATCCATGAGCCACTTGTAACCTTCTCGTGTTATACCAACATGATGCTTGCTTTTGTTTAAAATATCACCTAAATTATCTTACAAATGAACAAAAAAATTAATCTAAAAAGTTGCAAATAATATGAAGAAGGTTAATAGCAAGCATGGAAAAATTCCAACCATTGTCATTACGTATATCTCTACCTTCGAGGCCATTGTCATGAATATAAACAACAAGAACTTGCTTACCAAGGGATCCCATCTCAAACCATTCTTCAAATCATTATGATATTTCACTGATCCTGAGCCTCCAATTAAAATAATTGCTTAGGAACACCCTAAGCATTCATGACAACATTCCAAGTCATCAAGGATTATGATTGTCTGCAATTAGATTGTTTATAAGTCCTAGGCCTAATCAAAATTATTGGTTCCTTAGGCATATGTGTTATGTCTGACCAAATTTCTCTATAACTCTAGTATCTTAGTAATTGTTAACGACCAATTTTTAATCTATTTACTCGTTATAACATACATTGGGAAAATATGCCAATTAATTCATTTACATACATACAACATATGTTAGAACTTTTAAGTGAACAAGGGAAACAAAATTTACAACAATTAAGACTTGACGATATGATCTTCTAGATTTGAATACACACTTTCTTAAAAGCAATATTTCGTCCCTTATAAGAGCATAGGGTACTACGAAAATTGCCTTAATGAAGATTGACAACAATAATTCACACTAAAATTACGTTTGTTGTGATCGTTCATCATTTACAGTCCATGAGTTTGTTACATTGCAATTGCTTAAGAAGTGTTCTGTTTTTATGAACAGCCATCAGTTTTTGGGTGCTAGTCAATTTCTTTTATTTATAGCTTTAAGTAATTGGGTTTAGATTTTTAAAGTGCGGGGTTTAATTTAGAAAGTGAAGTGGGGGAATTGATTATCGCTACGGGGAGTAGATTCTTACTATCTATTTATAGAATTCAGGTGATTGTACTTTCTAAATTTTTTTACCATTGATTTTTCTAATATATAAATCAATGATTATCAGCCGTGCACTTTTTTTACCCCTCTGAAGTACACCATTCTTCTCAATACAAATCCGGGTGACGGGTATTGTATTGCCTAATGGAGTGAAGATGTATAAGTAAGTTGTTTTAGGTTATACTTTATGGTATAACATATAAAACTTCATATTATTCTGTATGCTAAGTATGTAACACATGGTAGTGTAAGTTGGGTGAATTGTTGTTGTTAACCGGGTTCATTATCCCTGTTGGTAGAAGGTAGAAGCAATATCCCTGTTGGTAGAAGGGAGGGTTGCTTCTCGCCATGGGAGGGTAGTGAAAACAAATAAATGTCAATCTGCTGGATGATTATTTCTAATTTGAAGCTACTTTTGTTTGACTGTTTTTTTCTTGTTTATTAGGTGAGGAATAAGGTATTAGAATCAAGAGGGGCTATTTTGTCCCTTATGCTGCGGGGAGTGGAGATAGTTTGGCATCTGGGCTTGTACTGGTCTAACTTGGTGTATGATTTCCTGGTTAGAAGGGATGAAGAGGTTGTTCCATATCGTGCTCGGCAGCTTAGGAACCTCTTGTGCGACCTGGGGCCTTCCTTCATCAAAGCTGGTCAAGTGTGTTGTTCAAGTCATATAATCATACAAGTGAGTGTTAGCTTTTGGTTTTCCAGTTGATAACACTGTTTTCTTTCATTTGACAGGTCCTTGCAAACAGGCCAGATATCATTCGAGAAGATTATATGAATGAACTTTGCATTCTTCAAGATGATGTTCCTTCATTTCCCAATCAAGTAAATAATAACTGAAAATCAACATTTTTTTTCATTTTATTTATGCTGAACATTTATCAGAGCATTGTCATCTCACCTAGATATTATAGTTCTGATGTATGACCTGAAATTTTCCTAGATTGCCTTCAGAATCATAGAGGAGGAACTGGGTCAGCCGCTTGAAGCTGTTTTCAGCAGAATCTCATCAGAGACTATAGCAGCTGCAAGTTTAGGTCAAGTTTACCGAGCTACTTTACGTGCCACTGGAGAGGATGTTGCTATCAAGGTTTCATTGTTCTCACCCCCCCTGTGTTATAACTCTTTTAATGTTCAAATATAGCACTTGTTACATGATGTTAAGAAGTCCTGACATGGCAGCAGTATATGTTGCAGTTTCCGTAGCTTAAATAGCTAATAGTTTTTCAAATAATCTTCTTAACTACTTTGCTTACCCTTATGTTTGCAGCATCTGAGCTGTTGGCTTTATATTCATAAGTTCATAACAGTTTAATATCCTGCTGTGACCTGAATACCTTGCTAGAAGGATTGTGTTTGTAGGTCTAAGACTAAGTTTTTTATGTTAAATAATTATTTTGTTGGTTGATTCGTTGATATTTGCTTGTCCATATTGTTCAAAATCAGTTGATTTCATCCCTAAAAAAATTGTCTATGTCTATATTTAATGATATGAAAATTTTGACATTTTCCTCTTTTCCAGTTTCAATTTGTTTTGTTGTGTTGTCTTTCTAATTATTGTTGTCAAATATGATCTAATTTATAGAATTACTTGTTTGTATGGTTTCATAGAATTAAAGCGCCGCAAATGTTTTCTGAAATATAAACAAGATTAAATCGAGATAAAATCCACTTCTAAATGTATACTTTGGTGTACTTGCAGGTTCAAAGGCCTGGGATAGAGCCCATTATATATCGAGATCTTTTCCTATTCCGCACTTTGGCTTCATTTTTAAATGGCATTAGTATACAGAAACTGGGGTGTAATGCAGAGCTAATTGTTGATGAATTTGGTGAAAAGCTTTTGGAAGAGCTTGATTATACCTTGGTAACTTTCAGTGCTGCCTTGTGTTTGTTGTAGACTTGTAGTAGTTTGATGCATGCTTTGAACTTGTCGATGCACCAAATATGAGTGTTTCTTGTCATTTCAAGAATATTTTTCACTGTATATTTGTCAAAGATAAATTTACTGATTTCTATAACTATATATTTCAGGAAGCACGCAATCTTGAAGACTTCATTGAGAATTTTAAAAATGATCCTACTGTCAAAATTCCTCAGGTCTACAAACAATTTTCTGGTTCACGAGTGTTAGTAATGGAATGGATTGATGGTATCAGGTGCACCAATCCACAGGTTTGTTTACTTGGATTGGTGATGATAATGCCATATTGTGCCCATTACGAAGCAACATGGTTTGTTGTGTTGTGGATTAATAGTTTTCCTTCTTGTGAATTAGGCCATCAAGGAAGCTGGTCTTGATGTAGACGGATTTTTAACAATTGGAGTGAGTGCTGCGCTAAGACAACTGTTGGAATTTGGATTATTTCATGGGGACCCTCACCCTGGAAATATTTTTGCCATGCGGGATGGGAGAATTGCATATGTGGACTTTGGCAATGTTGCTGTTCTTAGTCAGGTAATTCTTCATATGCTGAGCACCGGGGGCAATTATTTGTTTTTTTCTCTATGATCATTTATTATTGTTTCTCTATGCTATAAGATAGTGCATATGATGGAATGTTTAGTTGTGTTTTTTCAGTTAGGTTAGGTAGACTAACCATACCTTATTCATCATTCATCTCTGGGAGTGTTTGTCATTGCATCATATAATTAAAGTTATCATGCAACCCATGTGTTGCACTGGACATGTTTTGTTGTAATGATCATCCATACCTTTCTTTAATGTGAGAGAAGAATCTCATATGTTTGATTATACAGGTACTGTGAATATCACGTTAACATTTTGCTTTGCACTTCCACCCTTCCCCACAGATGACCCAAACATGTCTTTATGATTTTTTTTTCTCGTGTTTGAATATTTTCACGTATATAATAATTTAACATTATGTGCTATATTATCTGGTCTTGCAGCAGAGTAAAAATAATTTAAGGTTTAGTTACAGATGATATAATTGCCAAATGTTTTCATCCTGTCCGTGTCCCTTTTTATTGAATTTTATTCTATTAAATAATATGGTGGATTAGGGCTCCCATACATAGCTATATGCCGTATAGTATAAAATCTAACTCCTGTGAGGGCCAGTAATGGATTTATTATATCCCTAAAATAAATGAATGTTTATCAATTTATATCCTGGTTATTGATTTTTAAATTTTCTCATTAGGGTCAAAATTTCCATCACATCAGTGCAGCTGAGTGCCCACTTGTTATCCACTGAGATGAACGCTATTTTACTTTCTTTCTTTTTAATGAATAAAGTAATTATGTTAGAGAAAGAAAAAGATGAAAGTCAAGGGGTTGAATATCATTCCGTGAAGAAAAGAATAGACAAAGAACATAATGCTCAGTCACTGATGAAATACATCAATATGTCCAATAAATCCTGTTGAATACATGACAGTGACACTTCTTTGAAACGATCATTGGTCAGTCACCACAAAAAAAGTAAAATAGACAAATTTACGTAAAAGAAAAATAAGAAATCATTTCTGCTCAAATGTTTATGTAAGAAGAAGATTAGTCAGATGGTTGAGACTTGAGAGTGCTTCAAGTTCAAATGAATTAATGCCATAAGCAAAAGTTGAACCTGATTAAAGATCCCTGGCAACTTCCTGGACATTAGCCACACCCAACTATGTGCATTTAACCTTGGTGTTTGACATGTGTAGTGCATAATATTCATAGACTTTCCTTTTATGAGGGTGTTTTTTTTTTTTTTTTTGACAAGTTAGTGCCTTATGTTTTGGATAAACCAAAAGGGTTTGTGCAGACATGTTTATTATGTCCTACTGAACTGGCACAAATACCCCTATTCTATAAGGATCTATTAGAGAAATTGGAGTATTTTTCTTTTAGGACAACTTCCATTATAATCATGAATATGACATTTTTAGTTTGGTCTACGGAGTTTAAAGTATGCTGTTTGTGGCTGACATGTTTATCTGCTTCCATTTTTTCAGCAAAATAAACAGATTTTAATTGATGCTGTTGTCCATGCTGTGAATGAGGACTATGCTGAGATGGCTAATGACTTCAACAGATTAGGCTTTGATAGGAACTGGGATTATATTGAAATAACAGAACCTACACAGGGGAATTCCCTGAGATTACAAGCAGTAAAGATGGAAAAACAGAATAATGGAACAGAATACAGCAATCTAACTAGCAAGTAATTAGCAAGAGCAATGCTCCTATAGCCTCAGCTATCCCTAATGACCTCCCAGATATTTTCTATCTTTGGCCAAGTGTTCAACCTCTATATAATCCCTCTCTCCCTGCCACTCTCCTTTCCCCCGCCCCCTTGCCACGTATGCTAATTTATTAATCTGTTAGAATCTAGCATAACGGTCTCTCTGCTCATTCTTCCCATTTTACCCCTCTTTCTTTGATATGTCTTGAATGGGGTCCAAATGGCTTAGACCCAACAGGCTTCCTGACACCAGGGACTGATGTCACTCCTATAGTTCCTGCTCTGGAAGCAATTTGGCAGAACTCTGCTGGAAAGGGACTGTCAGATTTTAATTTTCGTAGTGTCACTGGTAGGCTGTTTCCCTTGATTATTAATATAAAAATAGCCATTGCTATGTGACCGTTTGACCTAAACTCTACTGCTGCTTGAAATAAATTTTCTAATTTGGGGTGGAATCTTCTTATCTTGCTCAATCAAGGACTTCAGACTAAGAAGTAACAAGGCGCAATGAATAGTGTATGAATCTAAAAGAGGAAGAAATCCAATCAAATCAAGGAGTCTCAATTACATGTTGTATGACTATGTTGTCCCATCTTACCTGTTATTGACTCATTTTTCCTCAGTGATATTATATGGAGTGTGTCATGAATCTTGATATTTATAGGTGGAAAAACTCTGACCTCACAGTATTATCCTCTCCCTATAATTGCATTGCATGAGCTAACAGACTAGTCAACTCAGTAGTATCTAACTCTCTTCCCCTGTGCCCTTCTTTCCCCTACCAGAATAAATCTTCCAGATCTTGGGCTTTCCGTGGTGAGAGTCCAATATTTGGTCCAGTGCTCTATCAAATTAAAGACTAATTTACTATTTCTTTTTCTTTTTTATTTCTGAAGATATAAATTTAGCTCTTTATCTAATGATTTAGTTTGGTGTCTCAAATTATTGGTAATCTAGTTAATTGTAATTAAATTTTAGGTATTTCATGCCTTTATCATATACTGCAGGAAAGTTTAACCAGTTGGTTTACAATTATCCCATTCGAATCCCAGAAAGGTTTTCTCTTGTAATCCGTTCTTTGTTAACCCATGAAGGCATCTGTTTTACTCTGAAGCCTGACTTCAAATTTCTTGAGGTAAAAGCTCCCATGTTGCTGACTTATCCTGATTTCAAGTTGTTTTGAAGACATACAACTTATTTTGAAAAAGCACTTTTGTTTAATAAGTTGCATTAGAAGAAGGAAAGCTGTATCATAATATGTATCAGAAGAGGAAAACTTCTAAATATTTTCTTAGAACAAATACTTCGTCATGGTAAATGAATTAGTTTGAGCAACTGCCAAACTCAAAATTATCCTTTTTCTGTTATACTTTCTTTGTCAGTATAATATGAATATGAGTATGTCAAATAGGTTGCTTATCCTTATGTGGCAAAGCGACTACTGACAGACCCAAATCCAGCTCTACGTGAAAGCCTCATACAGGTTAGCAATGCTGTTCAAAATGGAAAAGCTTTTATACATATAACAATATTCTGTCTAATTTACAATCCTGAAGCTCATTCTTGGTGATCTTTATTTAAAATTTTTAATCTCTGTCTAGTCATGTGTGTTGGGTAAGAAATTTACAGCAGTAGGTTTCCCTTGTTGAGGAAGAAAATCTGCAAAAGGGTGGGAACTGAAAGATGACCAAGGGGTTTCTTGGTGCCATATTTACACGATTTGTCTTTGGATCTGGATTTAGTGTAGTTGAAAAGGGTGGTGGTGGTGTAGTAGAACACAAAAAATATAGTTTTAAAATGCAAAGTATCACTAAGTAACAGTACTCTGTTTGGCTGTACTAACAGCACCCTTTTCAACAGCGTTGAATCCAATCCGTTTGTGTCCATGGCAGACTTTGCCGGATGATGATTCTGTTATATATATATAGGAATGGAAGCAATAAAATCTCTCTTTTTCCATCTTCTTCTTAAGCATTTTAAATATGTGGGTGCAAAATTCAGTCAGCTATGCTAGAAGCTTGATTTGCAGGAAAGGTCCTATTTTCTCTCTTCCCTCTGCTACCTAGGTCAAAGCACTAAAGTGGTCCTGTACATAAGTGAAATTTTAGTGCAATACCCAAGAATTATCTTAGCAAGTAGAATAAATGGTCCAAAGTATTTTTGTGATTCTTTCTTCCTCTAGGACTCTGAATGCTAATAACTTAATCATACCTGCTGTGTAATTGGAAACATATTGCTTCTCATTTGATATACTTTATTGTTTCAGGTTCTATTCAAAGATGGTCTCTTCCAGTGGAAACGGCTAGAAAACCTTATTGTTCTTGCGAAGGAAAATGTGGCCAAGATGAGCAGCAATCCAGCATTAAAAGTGAAAAACACGTGTGTATTTTAATTAAACAACATTGTGTGACCAAAAAACACAGCATTGCACGTTTGGTTACTTCCTTTGTGTCATCCAGTAATATTCACCAGAGGCTCTCTCTGCAGGCAAAGCCAGAGAAACTGGAAAGTAGAAAGAAAATTGGACCTCACAGACACTATCAAAGATGGAGCTCGCCTTTTCTTTGTTGATGAAGGATACGTATTGTGTTGTTGATGTTTCAAAGAAAAAAATAGTTTTACAAGTACTTTTCACTTTAATATATATTGTATGATTTCGTTAGAATTAAATATCATCATCAATAATAGAACATGAGTTCTATATATATCTAGAAGAATTTTTAAGAAGAAAAAATTAAACATAACTACTTAATAGTTACTAACATAATTATTTGGTGGTTATCATTTGGTAGTTACCATAAAAAATAACTATCTAGTAGTTATTTTTAGAATTAACTTTCTATTTTTTTATTTATAATTAATATCAAACACTATATCCTAATGATATTAATTATACAATTATGGATTAAAATAATGTAAATATTTTAAAATTCTAACGGCATATGCAATCCAAACTTGAACAACAGCTTCTTGATCCTTTGCCATCACATTCAGATGAATAAAAATGAACCTAGTTATTCCATTATTTTCACGCAGACATAAGATAGGACGTGTCTAAGTTATTTTATGGAATAAATAAGAATTTATCATAATTGAACTAATAAATATATATCTAAACTTTATTAATTCATACATTGTTTATCCATAAAATAATTTATACAGATCCATAACTTAAACAAAAAAAAGAAGAAAAGAAAATAGAGACGGGTTTAATTAACTAGGCAGACATGCAACCAATCCCACGCCTAGAAGTGGGAAAGATGAGAAACAAACTGCTACAAACAATACCCACCATCAAAGGGAAACTCTCTCTCACTTGTTCCATGTCCTTCTCATGCCCAGGGAACAAACAACTCGTAACCCTATGATCCGACACAGCAATAGCCACAAACACCATCACCGACATAACAGCATGCACGAAGTCCGTTAACCCAACCTTAAATTTCTCGTCCTTTGGAATTGCCACGTGGAGTCCCGGTTTGAAAACCGACAACCCTTTAGTTGTCACAAAGCCGTAGTAAACGTTTCCATCAGTGCCATGAAAACTATCGGTGAAGTGAAAGAAGAAGCACGAGAATGCACATAGAAGTAATAGGAAGTGGATCATGATGGTTTGAATGTGAGTGCATTGACCGTTTTGGTAGATTGAAGGAAGGACCATTTCAAATGTGAGGAGTGTGCCTGTTGGGAGGAAGTTACCAAGCATTGAAGTCTTTGAGAGGGTTTTTTGAACACCCTTTGCCATCATGGCACGACGCTTCCCCAGTGGTGGAGAAGGTTTGTTGTTGTTCGAGAGGTTTTGCATTTCATCTTGTGGTGGTGGAGTTGCATTGTAGACTTTGATGCCGATTTCTTGTTGAGTTTGATCCATTGATTGATACTTGTAAGTGTATGTATAGTAGAAATGGAGTGAATGAATGAAGGGATTGGTGGTTTTGGGTAAAGAGTTTTATATATAGTGTAGTTTATTTCAGTTTAAAATTGTTTGGGCGGTTACTGGCGGTTAAATAGAGTAATTATTGTGTGGGGATGAACTGACATCATTTTTTGCTACAAACAATCACAAATAAAAAAATAGTTTTTAAATTAAAAAGATATTAAAATTTCTCTCACGTTAAATACTTATTGTCATTAATTTTATATTAAGAGACAATAAGTCAATAATTTATTTTAAAATATAAATATTTTTTAATTTTTAATATATTAAAAAATTATAACCATCAATTTAAAAAGTATGCAATATTTAAATTTATGATATCATAACAAACATTTAAAAAAAGATGAAACTGGGATATTATATTAATATATTAAAAGTAAAAAAAAAATATTTACTCTTAATGTTTTTTATCTTATTTTTAATAACTAAGTTATTATTATTCTACTTCAATTCATGCTATCATTTTTCTTTCTTATTCATTGAAAGAAACCGATTGATCAAATGATTCTGCAAACTTAAAATAATTTATTAACTTCTTCATAAAATTATCCACTAAAAGAAAAAGCAAAAAAAATAAAAATAAAATAGAGGTGGCTATTGGTTGGTTCGGCCACGTGGACCAACATGCAAAGTGCTTGCGGCTTCTCTTCCTGTGGCCACTCGTTCTCTTTCAGTTTCTTATGTCTTCTTTCTCACATGCCTATTTAAATGGAAAACTAATTTTCAAAGCACCCGTTTGGTTCTTCTTCAGTTTTACTCATCTCACGAGTCACTCGCAAAATGCCCCCAATTTCTTCCTCAAGTTAGGGTTTCACGTTTCAACCTTGATTTCTTGCATTCATGGATTCCATCTGCGCCAGCTCTTCGTATACGGTTCCTCACCTTTTCTGCCGCAAAACTCTTCTGCCTCGAACTTCTATTCCTTATTCTTCTTCGGTTCAGCGGAGCAAGAAGACGCGGATTTCGAATTCCGCTGCTACGGGAACTACTGCCTCAAACGGCGCCGTTTCAAGGGCGTTGCAGCAGCAAGTGAGCAACAGTGCGTTGGAGCAGCTCGACATCGAGCGTGGCGTTTGCATCCCTTTCCGCAAGTACTCTCCAGAGATCGTACGCTTTCAATTGCTATCCTTGCGTTTCGATTACTCTGTTTGCGTTTTATGTGCCTCGTTGTCGTTTTAGTCTTGAAGCATATACGACACGCCTGTGATTCAATTTCAGCCTTTTGTTTTTCTGCTACTGGAATTGATTCTGAGTAGTACGTTAGTTAAATTTAGTCCTCGAAATTACCAGGAGACGTTAAATTATGAAATTACGGAAAATGTCATTTTAATCCTTCGAATAGTAAAATTAGAGTGATGTTAAATCTACCTATTATTTCAACCTACACTTTCTCTTAGATAATAAAAGTGACACATTTCTTATCTAAAGAGAGAAAAAGTTAAAAGATAATTAATATTTTTTAAACGACACGTGTCACTTTTTAGGCGGAAATAGTAGAAAGGATATAGAATTTTTCGGAAAATTATTAAAGGATCTTGTTAAGTAGGTTAAGAAAGGGCAACTGAAAATAGTTTTTTGGAAATTATATTGGACTTCATAGAAATTAGGAAGGAGGTGTATTAATAACACTTTCAGACAAAAACTTTTTCAGTTTTAATTTCATAATTAGTGCCCTCTTGCGAATTATTAAACTTGAGTATTTTAGTTTTGATTGTTGTAATATAAGTATCGTTGTTTAGTAACGTCAAGGACTAAAATACTGTCATTCGATTATTTAATAGGAAAAAAAAAAGACATTTTTGTAATTTTAATAATTAAATTTTTCAGGCTTTATTACTCGTTGTGTGTGAAGCTAAAATCGTTCATCATTTACAGTCCAGGAGTTTGTTACATTGCAATTGCTTAAGAAGTGTTCTGTTTTTATGAACAGCCATCAGTTTTTGGGTGCTAGTCAATTTCTTTTCTTTATAGCTTTAAGTAATTGGGTTTAGATTTTTAAAGTGCGGGGTTTAATTTGGAAAGTGAAGTGGGGGAATTGATTATCGCTACGGGGAGTAGATTCTTACTATCTATTTATAGAATTCAGGTGATTGTACTTTCTAAAAAATTTTACCATTGATTTTTCTAATATATAAATCAATGATTATCAGCCGTGCACTTTTTTTACCCCTCTGAAGTACACCATTCTTCTCAATACAAATCCGGGTGACGGGTATTGTATTGCCTAATGGAGTGAAGATGTATAAGTAAGTTGTTTTAGGTTATACTTTATGGTATAACATATAAAACTTCACATTATTCTGTATGCTAAGTATGTAACACATGGTAGTATAAGTTGGGTTAATTGCTGTTGTAAACCGGGTTCATTATCCCTGTTGGTAGAAGGTAGAAGCAATATCCCTGTTGGTAGAAGGGAGGGTTGCTTCTCGCCATGGGAGGGTAGTGAAAACAAATAAATGTCAATCTGCTGGATGATTATTTCTAATTTGAAGCTACTTTTGTTTGACTGTTTTTTTCTTGTTTATTAGGTGAGGAATAAGGTATTAGAATCAAGAGGGGCTATTTTGTCCCTTATGCTGCGGGGAGTGGAGATAGTTTGGAATTTGGGCTTGTACTGGTCTAACTTGGTGTATGATTTCCTGGTTGGAAGGGATGAAGAGGTTGTTCCATATCGTGCTCGGCAGCTTAGGAACCTCTTGTGTGACCTGGGGCCTTCCTTCATCAAAGCTGGTCAAGTGTGTTGTTCAAGTCATATAATCATACAAGAGAGTGTTAGCTTTTGGTTTTCCAGTTGATAACACTGTTTTCTTTCATTTGACAGGTCCTTGCAAACAGGCCAGATATCATTCGAGAAGATTATATGAATGAACTTTGCATTCTTCAAGATGATGTTCCTTCATTTCCCAATCAAGTAAATAATAACTGAAAATCAACATTTTTTTTCATTCTATTTATGCTGAACATTTATCAGAGCATTGTCATCTCACCTAGATATTATTATTCTGATGTATGACCTGAAATTTTCCTAGATTGCCTTCAGAATCATAGAGGAGGAACTGGGTCAGCCGCTTGAAGCTGTTTTCAGCAGAATCTCATCAGAGACTATAGCAGCTGCAAGTTTAGGTCAAGTTTACCGAGCTACTTTACGTGCCACTGGAGAGGATGTTGCTATCAAGGTTTCATTGTTCTCACCCCCCCTGTGTTATAACTCTTTTAATGTTCAAATATAGCACTTGTTACATGATGTTAAGAAGTCCTGACATGGCAGCAGTATATGTTGCAGTTTCCGTAGCTTAAATAGCTAATAGTTTTTCAAATAATCTTCTTAACTACTTTGCTTACCCTTATGTTTGCAGCATCTGAGCTGTTGGCTTTATATTCATAAGTTCATAACAGTTTAATATCCTGCTGTGACCTGAATACCTTGCTAGAAGGATTGTGTTTGTAGGTCTAAGACTAAGTTTTTTATGTTAAATAATTATTTTGTTGGTTGATTCGTTGATATTTGCTTGTCCATATTGTTCAAAATCAGTTGATTTCATCCCTAAAAAAATTGTCTATGTCTATATTTAAAGATATGAAAATTTTGACATTTTCCTCTTTTCCAGTTTCAATTTGTTTTGTTGTGTTGTCTTTCTAATTATTGTTGTCAAATATGATCTAATTTATAGAATTACTTGTTTGTATGGTTTCATAGAATTAAAGCGCCGCAAATGTTTTCTGAAATATAAACAAGATTAAATCGAGATAAAATCCACTTCTAAATGTATACTTTGGTGTACTTGCAGGTTCAAAGGCCTGGGATAGAGCCCATTATATATCGAGATCTTTTCCTATTCCGCACTTTGGCTTCATTTTTAAATGGCATTAGTATACAGAAACTGGGGTGTAATGCAGAGCTAATTGTTGATGAATTTGGTGAAAAGCTTTTGGAAGAGCTTGATTATACCTTGGTAACTTTCAGTGCTGCCTTGTGTTTGTTGTAGACTTGTAGTAGTTTGATGCATGCTTTGAACTTGTCGATGCACCAAATATGAGTGTTTCTTGTCATTTCAAGAATATTTTTCACTGTATATTTGTCAAAGATAAATTTACTGATTTCTATAACTATATATTTCAGGAAGCACGCAATCTTGAAGACTTCATTGAGAATTTTAAAAATGATCCTACTGTCAAAATTCCTCAGGTCTACAAACAATTTTCTGGTTCACGAGTGTTAGTAATGGAATGGATTGATGGTATCAGGTGCACCAATCCACAGGTTTGTTTACTTGGATTGGTGATGATAATGCCATATTGTGCCCATTACGAAGCAACATGGTTTGTTGTGTTGTGGATTAATAGTTTTCCTTCTTGTGAATTAGGCCATCAAGGAAGCTGGTCTTGATGTAGACGGATTTTTAACAATTGGAGTGAGTGCTGCGCTAAGACAACTGTTGGAATTTGGATTATTTCATGGGGACCCTCACCCTGGAAATATTTTTGCCATGCGGGATGGGAGAATTGCATATGTGGACTTTGGCAATGTTGCTGTTCTTAGTCAGGTAATTCTTCATATGCTGAGCACCGGGGGCAATTATTTGTTTTTTTCTCTATGATCATTTATTATTGTTTCTCTATGCTATAAGATAGTGCATATGATGGAATGTTTAGTTGTGTTTTTTCAGTTAGGTTAGGTAGACTAACCATACCTTATTCATCATTCATCTCTGGGAGTGTTTGTCATTGCATCATATAATTAAAGTTATCATGCAACCCATGTGTTGCACTGGACATGTTTTGTTGTAATGATCATCCATACCTTTCTTTAATGTGAGAGAAGAATCTCATATGTTTGATTATACAGGTACTGTGAATATCACGTTAACATTTTGCTTTGCACTTCCACCCTTCCCCACAGATGACCCAAACATGTCTTTATGATTTTTTTTTCTCGTGTTTGAATATTTTCACGTATATAATAATTTAACATTATGTGCTATATTATCTGGTCTTGCAGCAGAGTAAAAATAATTTAAGGTTTAGTTACAGATGATATAATTGCCAAATGTTTTCATCCTGTCCGTGTCCCTTTTTATTGAATTTTATTCTATTAAATAATATGGTGGATTAGGGCTCCCATACATAGCTATATGCCGTATAGTATAAAATCTAACTCCTGTGAGGGCCAGTAATGGATTTATTATATCCCTAAAATAAATGAATGTTTATCAATTTATATCCTGGTTATTGATTTTTAAATTTTCTCATTAGGGTCAAAATTTCCATCACATCAGTGCAGCTGAGTGCCCACTTGTTATCCACTGAGATGAACGCTATTTTACTTTCTTTCTTTTTAATGAATAAAGTAATTATGTTAGAGAAAGAAAAAGATGAAAGTCAAGGGGTTGAATATCATTCCGTGAAGAAAAGAATAGACAAAGAACATAATGCTCAGTCACTGATGAAATACATCAATATGTCCAATAAATCCTGTTGAATACATGACAGTGACACTTCTTTGAAACGATCATTGGTCAGTCACCACAAAAAAAGTAAAATAGACAAATTTACGTAAAAGAAAAATAAGAAATCATTTCTGCTCAAATGTTTATGTAAGAAGAAGATTAGTCAGATGGTTGAGACTTGAGAGTGCTTCAAGTTCAAATGAATTAATGCCATAAGCAAAAGTTGAACCTGATTAAAGATCCCTGGCAACTTCCTGGACATTAGCCACACCCAACTATGTGCATTTAACCTTGGTGTTTGACATGTGTAGTGCATAATATTCATAGACTTTCCTTTTATGAGGGTGTTTTTTTTTTTTTTTTTTTGACAAGTTAGTGCCTTATGTTTTGGATAAACCAAAAGGGTTTGTGCAGACATGTTTATTATGTCCTACTGAACTGGCACAAATACCCCTATTCTATAAGGATCTATTAGAGAAATTGGAGTATTTTTCTTTTAGGACAACTTCCATTATAATCATGAATATGACATTTTTAGTTTGGTCTACGGAGTTTAAAGTATGCTGTTTGTGGCTGACATGTTTATCTGCTTCCATTTTTTCAGCAAAATAAACAGATTTTAATTGATGCCGTTGTCCACGCTGTGAATGAGGACTATGCTGAGATGGCTAATGACTTCACCAGATTAGGCTTCCTGACACCAGGGACTGATGTCACTCCTATAGTTCCTGCTCTGGAAGCAATTTGGCAGAACTCTGCTGGAAAGGGACTGTCAGATTTTAATTTTCGTAGTGTCACTGGTAGGCTGTTTCCCTTGATTATTAATATAAAAATAGCCATTGCTATGTGACCGTTTGACCTAAACTCTACTGCTGCTTGAAATAAATTTTCTAATTTGGGGTGGAATCTTCTTATCTTGTTCAATCAAGGACTTCAGACTAAGAAGTAACAAGGCGCAATGAATAGTGTATGAATCTAAAAGAGGAAGAAATCCAATCAACTCAAGGAGTCTCAATTACATGTTGTATGACTATGTTGTCCCATCTTACCTGTTATTGACTCATTTTTCCTCAGTGATATTATATGGAGGGTGTCATGAATCTTGATATTTATAGGTGGAAAAACTCTGACCTCACAGTATTATCCTCTCCCTATAATTGCATTGCATGAGCTAACAGACTAGTCAACTCAGTAGTATCTAACTCTCTTCCCCTGTGCCCTTCTTTCCCCTACCAGAATAAATCTTCCAGATCTTGGGCTTTCCGTGGTGAGAGTCCAATATTTGGTCCAGTGCTCTATCAAATTAAAGACTAATTTACTATTTCTTTTTCTTTTTTATTTCTGAAGATATAAATTTAGCTCTTTATCTAATGATTTAGTTTGGTGTCTCAAATTATTGGTAATCTAGTTAATTGTAATTAAATTTTAGGTATTTCATGCCTTTATCATATACTGCAGGAAAGTTTAACCAGTTGGTTTACAATTATCCCATTCGAATCCCAGAAAGGTTTTCTCTTGTAATCCGTTCTTTGTTGACCCAAGAAGGCATCTGTTTTACTCTGAAGCCTGACTTCAAATTTCTTGAGGTAAAAGCTCCCATGTTTCTGACTTATCCTGATTTCAAGTTGTTTTGAAGACATACAACTTATTTTGAAAAAGCACTTTTGTTTAATAAGTTGCATTAGGAGAAGGAAAGCTGTATCATAATATGTATCAGAAGAGGAAAACTTCTAAATATTTTCATAGAACAAATACTTCGTCATGGTAAATGAATTAGTTTGAGCAACTGCCAAAACTCAAAATTATCCTTTTTCTGTTATACTTTATTTGTCAGTATAATATGAATATGAGTATGTCAAATAGGTTGCGTATCCTTATGTGGCGAAGCGACTACTGACAGACCCAAATCCAGCTCTACGTGAACGCCTCATACAGGTTAGCAATGCTGTTCAAAATGGAAAAGCTTTTATACATATAACAATATTCTGTCTAATTTACAATCCTGAAGCTCATTCTTGGTGATCTTTATTTAAAATTTTTAATCTCTGTCTAGTCATTTGTGTTGGGTAAGAAATTTACAGCAGTAGGTTTCCCTTGTTGAGGAAGAAAATCTGCAAAAGGGTGGGAAATGAAAGATGACCAAGGGGTTCCTTGGTGCCATATTAACACGATTTGTCTTTGGATCTGGATTTAGTGTAGTTGAAAAGGGTGGTGGTGGTGTAGTAGAACACAAAAAATATAGTTTTAAAATGCAAAGTATCACTAAGTACCAGTACTCTGTTTGGCTGTACTAACAGCACCCTTTTCAACAGCGGTGAATCCAATCCGTTTGTGTCTATGGCAGACTTTGCCGGATGATGATTCTGTTATATATATATAGGAATGGAAGCAATAAAATCTCTCTTTTTCCATCTTCTTCTTAAGCATTTTAAATATGTGGGTGCAAAATTCAGTCAGCTATGCTAGAAGCTTGATTTGCAGGAAAGGTCCTATTTTCTCTCTTCCCTCTGCTACCTAGGTCAAAGCACTAAAGTGGTCCCGTACATAAGTGAAATTTTAGTGCCTCTTAGCAAGTAGAATAAATAGTCCAAAGTATTTTTGTGATTCTTTCTTCCTCTAGGACTCTGAATGCTAATAACTTAATCATACCTGCTGTGTAATTGGAAACATATTGCTTCTCATTTGATATACTTTATTGTTTCAGGTTCTATTCAAAGATGGTCTCTTCCAGTGGAAACGGCTAGAAAACCTTATTGTTCTTGCGAAGGAAAATGTGGCCAAGATGAGCAGCAATCCAGCATTAAAAGTGAAAAACACGTGTGTATTTTAATTAAACAACATTGTGTGACCAAAAAACACAGCATTGCACGTTTGGTTACTTCCTTTGTGTCATCCAGCAATATTCACCAGAGGCTCTCTCTGCAGGCAAAGCCAGAGAAACTGGAAAGTAGAAAGAAAATTGGACCTCACAGACACTATCAAAGATGGAGCTCGCCTTTTCTTTGTTGATGAAGGAATACGTAGACAGCTTCTTCTTGCTTTGACGGAGGACTCAAAGCTTCATATTGAAGAGGTGTGTCTTGATATGACCCTTTCCTCTCCTTTAAAGCCCATAATCTTGCCCTGGAAATTCTAACTTGTGTTTTCTCCAGCTTGTTGACGTGTATAGGCTGGTTGAAGATCAGATAGACATACCCTCAGTGGCTGTAGAAGTAGCTAGAGGTATAGTTCTTTGCCTTGGTCCATTTTGGTTAAACTTTCAGAGAAGTCTTTATAGGAGAAAAAAAAGAACTTATGCTTCTCAATAAATCTCAATTTTATTGAGAAGATCTTTTATTTAATTTCTCTAAAATTTGAAAAAATAAGTTGTGTCTAACTTAAGTGATAAGTTTTATTTATTTTTTAGAATATTTTTTTTCCTGTAAGGACTTTAAAAAAGATTATCTAAATTTTGCCCTTATGAACTTGGAATTTGACTTAAATCAGTTGTTATCTGCCATGACTGCATGACGCAAACAAAATATGAATATTTTTTTGGTGTAGATTTGCCAACGGTTGTGAGGGATCTCCTACTTTCATGGAGTGAGTCAGTATTGTCCGATAGATAGCTAAATCTTTGGACTACCTGCACATAGCAAATACAGATACTGTTTCAGCCAGATGAGTATACGTTACACGTCCTATATTTTCTCTTGATTCCTTATATATAATCAAAAGGTTTATTATTAGGTTTTAAATGACGGTCATCTCTTGTAACTAAAGGAAATCAATACTATAGTTGTGTAAGAATCATTGTTTTGCTCAATATGAAGTTGTAATTTCAAGGGAAAAAGTTCAGAAAATTCAAGTAATCCTTGAACCTCCTTCAACGTTGTCTTTTTTATAAATCTTAACTCATAATTCAGTTATTTAACTTCTGTTGCTGCCGATTGATAGGTTACACTTCTGTATTTATCTTTTGTGTCACGTTGCATCGGTTCATATGTGTAAAACTGAATAGTCTCGTGACTACTAACTTTGTATAATATTATTACATCATAAGCTTCTACTAGTTTTCCGCCTTTATTTCAGTTGAACAGTTGAGCATGTTTATTCACTTGTCTTATTGGGGATTTTTCGGATTAAAGATTTACTCTTCTTAGGATCTGGTTCTTATAAATTCGAGGAAGTTTGATTTTGAGAGAATCGATGCTGAAAATTTTACTTTTGATAAAAAAAAACATGTTTAACAGTTAATTTGTGTTTTAGAATGATATTTTACTGAGTTTAAAAAAATGTTCTTGTTTAAATGTCGAACTAAAATTATCTTTAAAGTATAAGTTATTTTTAAAATAGTAAGTTTTATAAATAGAATTAATTCTTTTCAATAGGTAAATCCAAATCTTTTTTGTGAAAGAATTATTTTCCGAATAAAGTTCTATCTTAAATTTAACAAAAATATGGCTGTTTCTTTAAATTATATTATATTTAAATATGCATTAATTTTAAAAATAATTATTTTTTAAAATTTTTCCCAAAAACCTATTAGAACATAATTTTATCAAAATAGCTTTAAATTAAACATCCAGTTAATTTCATAATTTATAGGAATTGCAGGTAATGTTTTAGTTTTTTAAAATCGTTAAATTTTCAAAAAATAATTGAGAATATTTTCAACAAAATATAGTTTGGGATTGGATAAAGATTAAAGGTACTTTAAATTTGATGCTGTCCTTTTGGAAATACACACTTTTAACTTTAATACTGTCACAATTAGTTCTTAAATTCGCGTGACTCGAATGTTAAATGGCTATGGGGTTTAGTGGGACCGTTGGACGGGTTGATATCCTGGAGATTGAACTTCTTTCCATGGACTACTCCTTGTTCGGAGGACGCGCACTCAATCTCTATTATGCATTTCTGTGGCTGAATAGTTTATGAAGCAGGAAACTTGGAGTACTCATTGACATGGAGCAATTCTTTATTTAATTAAAGAGTTGATGCACAAATTTTGGATACTCCAGTTATGCATTGCTTTCGAGAGAGGAATCAGTGTCCAGATCTTTTTGGCTAAAATGGGTCGAACGCGAAGTTTAGAAATTGAAAAACTGGTTTCTCCTTTGTTAGGGGTGGAATTTCAATTGTTAGTTGATGTAGTTGGTATTCTTTTTTTTTGTTTTTTTGCTGGTCCATTACCAAAAAAAAAAATATTCTCTCCATTGATTTTTATTAAAAATTAACCATTGATTAAAAGTTAATGTTATGGTAAAATAATTTTTTTCTTTTAAATGTGAGTTTAATTATGTTTATTTTTTCTATAAATATGAAATATTTTATTTAAGTCTTTATAGTATATATATTTTTTAAGATTTAGTCTTTAAAAAATTAAAATGTTAGATTTTGATTTTAGTGTTAATTTTTTTGTCTGTTAAGCATTAAAATGATTGACTCAAACTCAGTTTAGTATTTTTGTCATATCATGTTATTTAATTAAATAATATTAAATTTTAATTAAATTTTAACAAAAATTTATAAAAATCTATCATGCTTAATATTTATAAGAATCAAAATTATAATTAAGCCATCTATTAAAGATGAGAAAGATGGGGTTTTGGTTACAGAACTTCCCCTTACTGCAGAGGACCACGGATACTGATGATGGAACTTTTTGTTTATTTTTTCCTTTATCTTGTTTTCACGTTGATGATGGAGCTATTACTAATGGCTTTCAACAAAAACATGATGCATTCTTGCAGCCTGCATTTCTTTTACGCCTGGACTCACTCAGAAATATGCAAGATACGAATGGGTCAATAAAGAAGGAAATACGTATGGGCGACCACTGTTTATTTAATTAGTCCTTTTTAAGTATTTTTAGTGTTATTTTTAAATTAAACTAATATTGCATTTATTTAATAATTTTTATAAAGATAAAAAATTAAATTTTATTGTAATTGTGTTAAGAGTAATATATACACTTTTAAAAATTACAGTAAAATAAAAATTAATATAAATTCTGACAAATTTCATCTTGCATATAAATATCAAACGGTACCTTTCAGTTTTTTTGTAAATAATTTTTTTCTAAAAAAAATAAAAATTTGTATGATTCATAAGTAAACGTAGATTAATACCTCAAAAAAACAGAAAGTAAAACAAATTATGATGAAAGTTGGAGAGCTTGATATTCTCCTATTTGAATCCTTTAAGAGTAGTTTAGTGATGGCTTAGAAAATAAAAGTATTAGTTTGTTAAGGAGTTTGAGTAGCTTGTGTGATATTATAATGGAGGTATGGTAAAAATCTCATTCCAAAATTCAATGGACCACATAATTGAGGAAACATACAAATAAAATAAATAAAGACATATTTCAATTATTTTGAAAAACTGAAAATTGCTGCTAGAACCTGAAAACATGACATTGGAGGCCGAGTTAGCACTAATGCTTCAATTTTTAACCCTTCCCTGTCAACAAGTTCACAGTCAATGCTCTGAAAGTACACACGCATACCAATAGAAGATTTAAATTGGCAACTCAATTATAATTCAATCGAGCCAGCATTGTAATAAAAATAAAGTGTTCATAGTCATCACCAAAATACATTGTGTTCATGATAAACATACTTGTTATGCGTAAGTCCAAGACAAACACCCTCAGTAAAATGGAGTGTCACCACTGGAAAGCTAGTTAAGGATATCGTTCCCTACTATATGTAAATTATTTGAATTTGGCTGTGTTATCTTGAGGATGAGTCGACTTGCTAGGATTTTTAGAGTCTTCTCTTGATGACATTGAATCTTGGCATTGGTTATATCTTTGAACATAATGCCTGCGCCGGAAAAAGAAAAGGTGTAAGCACCCATATTCCAGTTTGTATTCTTGCCCATGAAGCATGGCACAAGTTTTTTACTAAGATCATTTCAGCAGATATCCTATCAAAATGCTCCTGGGTATGGATGTATGATATTCTATTTTGAGCATAGAATCCAAAGAACTGCTGACCCACCATAAGAATTTACTATTATTAAACTCCATAGGTCAATTTGGGATTCGAATCCACACGATGATCCTTTGCACTGCTTGAAGAGGTGGTTTGAATGGAGATCTCCATCTTTGGACCACTAAATAGAGGTCGAAATAAGCCATGGATCCTCATACTGGGTGTTCTTATAGTCTTCTTCCTGTGAGAAATTCACGATACAGAATTCCTCATTTAAGTAAAGAACCTGCACTTCCCCAACAGGTGAGTATTTCTAGTGAGATGTCTTTGTTTTGCTCACCCGATTCTGCCATCGTTTGATCCTCTTCACCACCATCATACTTTTGCCTTTTCCTGTTATCTTAACTTTCATTTTACTTCTCTACAATAGATCTTGTTCTTTTGTCAAAGGAACATCGTGTTCTAATAACCTTTTTCCTCCATCTAACTTTCAAAATCCTTGTTTTTTTAGCATCCTAATCAGTTCTCTTTCTCATCATATGTCAAGTAATTTCTTTTTACATTACATATTTACTTTTAATATAATATAAATTTAATGTAATCATATAATTTATTTTATTTTAATAATATTTATGCATTGCACATAAAATTAAAAGTTAGTTTAAATTTAACATAATTATATTGTCATGTGAATAAACATTTAAATTTTAATATGAGGATAAAAATTAAAATAAAATTAAAAATTGAATTAAAAAACAAAAAATAAATCAGAAAATTATGAAGACTTTTATTATTATTAACTGTACATGAATGTTATTTTAAAATAAGAGAAGAAATTTACAATAAAAAAACTAATTTAGGCAAAAAAAATTTATTAATCACTTCATTCTTTATTGATATATATATATATATATATATATATATATATATATATATATATATATATAATCTTCCTACTAATTCGTTAAATATAAATTAAATAAAAAAATGTGTAAAAATTTAATTCTTACTCTATCTATATATATATATATTAAATAGAAAAATATCTTTTAGCAATAAATTTAAAAATAGTTGTACGTAAATTTTTTAATAATATATGAAATATTTTTTTAATTATAATTATTATATTTTTCAAAGTAAAGAGTAGTTTGCTTTGACTATACAAATTATCTTTGAACAGTTTAATATATAAAAAACTATGAGAGCAGTTGACCTCAGCTATCCTCTGAAAGGTTACCCACCCAATATACCATCGATTGAAACCGTAGTGAGCGGAACCTTTATTTTATGGTCACTAATTATCTGCTGTCTTTAAAAAATTAAACAAAAAAGTTTGACTTTGACTATTCAGTCTCCCAACGAATTTTCATTTTCATAAAAGCTTTATGCTTTTATTGTGCGAAAATTCGTTTGAATAAGATTCAAATCCAAAACAAAAATGGAATCAAGAAATTCAACAAGATTATCCCGTGTAAGATAACGTAAATTAATCCACTTATAACTGTCTTTAATTATGTTTTTTGTTCTTTGATCATTGTGTAATTTTAATTTTCTTATTTTTTATTTAATTAAATTTCTCTACTTTTAAATTTTTTAATTTAATTGTATTTAAACTTCTCATATTATTATTTTTGTTCAAATATTTAAGAAAATTATGACTAATTTGTTAAATAATATAATTTCAAATTTTAAAAGTTAAAAATTTTGATAAGGTTTAAGTTTTTTTTTTCCAAATTTTGAAAACATAGCTAATTATTCTGGTAATGAAACAGAGCATGAATGCAAAAATGGTAATCTAAATCTAACCATAAATTTTAATTAATAATTGTAATTATATTTTATCTTTGAAACTCATTTAAAAATAAATAAATCCAACTTTATTACAACCCTTTATTGTCTTTCCAATTTATAAATTAAAAAAAGAGAGTAGAAATTGTGCAATTGCACTTGGCAAAGAAAGAAGAGAGAGAGAGAGGGGGAGAGAGAGAGAGAGGCGCAACCCACCTTCACTAGTTCTCAAAGTGGCATCATCACCCATTTGCACCAAGATCGCAACAACGACACTTGACACACCAATTCTTCGATACGAGGTTTCTCTGTTCAGTCATCAATTCTCATCTATAAGGTTTGGTAACCTTGCCTTTCCCCTTCTACCCTGTTATTCAATGTACTTTATCACTTTTCTGTCACAAAGTTCGTCTCTCTTTTCTTTCTTCTTTTTTGGGTCTTGCTTCTTTTTTTTTTTTGGGTCGGTTTCAATTCATGTTTCCCTACCTGGGCTTGGTGTTTTAGCAGTTTTTTTTTCTTGCTCTCTAGAGAATAATACCCTTTATTTTGAATTGGTCAACTTTGTCAATTTTTTTTTGCAATACTGAAAATTGGGTTGTCAATTTTTTTTCCTTTTCAATTTTGGGTGTTAAAGTAAGGATTTTTATACGTTTTACTGTGTTCTTTCTGTGTTTTTTTATTTCATTTGAATTGCATGTTTTGTTATTGTAAACTATGTGTTTTAATGTCAATATGGTGGTCATTTTGATTTATTTTTTTGGTTGGTATGTTCTTTTTTATCTGTAAAGGGGTGTTCTTGTTTTTTTCCCCTGAAATTTCAGATTTGGGGGAAGTATTGATTATGGAATTTAACTGGTGAGATTCTTAGATGGCACTGTTTTGTGGCTTTTGGTTTGTCTGTGTATCTGTTTGTTGGTCAATCAATTAGTACTAGGGCATCTTTGATCTTCATCTTCTCCGAATTTTGATTTTGTACTCTTTTTTTTTTTTTTTTTTGAGGAACTTGAAGGGAAATGTATCTGTCTCTTACGATACAATAAGTTCAGTTTCTTGACACTTTAACATGTTTTTTTTGTTGATAATATGGACTCCTTAGTCTTTAAAGACAAAATGCAGTCATGTAAATAGTATTTTTAATGGTTTTGTGAGTTTTCTTGCAGTTGCACGAGTAAATGTTCCAAGTTATATAAATTCCTAACTACCTTTGCAATATGGTTCTTGACTAGCTCCTTTTTATTTCTTTTGTATCTTGTTATATTAGGCCTGTGCTAAAATCCAGGACGCAGTTGCTTGATTAATTTCCAAGACTTCATCTAGCTGTTTTAATTTTGAAGAATAAGAAGAATGCAATTGACTAGTACATTTATTTTTTCGGTTTGAGTGGCTGTATTATATGGTTTTAGGCCTTGTGAGTGTAAACAGCATGGAGGATATTCAATTGGATATTAATTGGGACGATCTCGTCTGTCCTATATGCTTGGACTTTCCTCATAATTGTGTGCTCCTTCAGTGTTCGTCATATGATAAAGGATGTCGTCCTTTTGTTTGTGACACAAATCAATTGCACTCAAATTGTTTGGATCGTTTTAAAAATGCATGTGGCATGCCGTCCTCTCCAGTGTCTGATGCAGTCTCGACTGATAATAGTGAGCCTGTGGCATCAGATGATCAATGCAATCTAACTTGCCCCTTGTGTAGAGGTGAGGTTTCTGGGTGGATTGTTGTTGATAAAGCTCGCTCTCATCTTGATGAGAAGAAGCGTTGTTGTGATGAGGTGGGATGTAAATTCATGGGAAGCTACCTGGAGCTACAAAATCATGCTCAACTTGAACACCCTCATTCACGCCCATCAAAAATTGATCCTGCCCGGCAGCTTGATTGGGAGAATTTTCAGCAGTCCTCTGAGATTATTGATGTTTTGAGCACTATTCATTCAGAAATACCACGGGGGGTGGTTTTGGGTGATTATGTGATTGAATATGGTGATGATGATGCAAGAGATGAGTTTGAGGACTTCCCTGGTGTTGAGGGCAACTGGTGGACCTCTTGTATTCTGTACTTTGACAACTTCAGAAGTTCCAGAAATAGGAGGACAAGAGTTGGTCATGCAAGAAGGGGTAATCGCCGCTTAAGTTATGATAGGTCAAATTCAAATTCTGATGAAGGTTCTGTGGCATCAGTGGAGTATGCAGATTATAGGATAGAAGAGACTGATGATGAGTTTGTTAGTACAAGTGGCTCTTCAAGGGGTAGTAGTGGTTATCGAAGGTGCATAGACTTTCCCTTCTTCATTTGCTTTTACTCTTTCTATATAGTAATATTAATGTCCTTTACATCCCATTCCTTTACCTTCTGGGTTGTTATGGTCTGACAATTTCAGTATATGATTTTGCATGCAGAATTTTTTCACTGTTTCTATGGGTACCATGATAAATAGTTTTCTGGCACTAAAGATGAACTTTTCTAAAGCTATCCCCTCAAACATTTTAAACCAGTTACTTTTTCATTGGTTTAGGACCACCATCATGTATTTATCAGTGTACTTTATAGCTTACAAGAATCATATTCTCTTTTAGTACCTTCTGACGTTAATCATCCCAACATTACAATTTAAGTGAAATGTTGGTTCACTTGCATAACTCAAAGGAGCATATAATTACAGATAATATATTCTGATTTGAATTTGAAACATGATCTCATTATCGTTTTGACCAAATTATTGTGGTTTGTTATGATATTTGAGAAGAAGTTGTAAATTTCGTACTGATTAGCCTTTTTTTGTTATTATTCAATAGTTCTCTACTTGCTTTTGTGTTTTGAGAGAATGATATCCTTTTCTTACTCTTCCTTGTGTTCTTTTTCAATTTGGTTCTAGAGCTACTCTCGATATCAATTAATGATATTTGATGAAGTGTGTAATTTGATGTTTGAATGGTTTGTTTGATTAAGTTATATTTAGATATTCAGTATTTTTATTTCAATAATGTTATTCACAGGTCCCAGAGACGCCGCTCCCGCTTTTATGACAATTAGGTATGTTCTGGCTGCTCAAAACTATCCTTTTTTGTTCTTATTTAAAAGTCCTGATGACTTGAACTTACTGCTAATTGACTCTATGAAGCACAAACACGACCCTTCCCTTTTGACATGTGTCAGGCACTCCTCATCAGGTGTCCGCTTAAAAATTTCATTCTTACCAGCTCGGACACTTATGCCAAAACATCGATATAGATAGACCCTTCACGAACACTATACAAAAAAATAATATTTTTTCAGATAGATTTCCTTCTGGCTTGAAACGTATTTGACCATGGTGCTGAGGGCTTTGACTGCTATTAACTTTAAATTACTTATTGTTTTTCTGAGTTTTCAGGCAGTTTATATGCATTAAAGGGAGGCAATAGTCAAGAGACGTAGAAAACAGTGTGACAGCTTGTCTTTCACCATGCAAAGATTACATTTAGCTCATCTATTGCTTTCGCAGGGAGATGTGGTGATTGGAATTGGTAGACTTAGTAAATTTGACAGCTCCATCTGGTCACATACTCAGTTTCTTTTATGCTTAGCTTTAAAATCACATTTTGTCTTAATCCAAGTAATTGTGCTAGCCATTGGAAGCCTGTTAATTTCCTCATGGGCAACCACTGTGATTTCGCTAGCATTCTGCTGCTTCACTATGGAATAATGATTTTTTCTTTTTATCATACTATCCCTGTACATATAGGATATAACTAATTGATTGTGAAATGTTAGAATAACTCTAAGGATGCAGTTTCTAGTCCCTGAAAATTTATTATATATTTCTCCATTTACTGATAATAGCCCACGGTCTTCATATATGAGCATTTACAAAAAAATTTACATTCGTAACCATGCGCAATTGTACTAGTGATTTGGATTTGGTTCAATTGGTTATACTTGAACTTTATGATAAAATATATAATGCAAATTACGATGGAGTATACAGTTTAATTAAGTGTTGATTCAATAATTTTTTTACAATAAAATTTATTAGAATAAGTTGAAAATAATTTATTTGGATAAGTTGTACTTATAAATTTATTAATACAAGTTAAAAATATAACTTATGAGAGATAAAATATTTCCATAAAGTATTTTTATAATTTGCTTGTAAGTTGTTTTAAATGCCATTAATCATATTGTAGTTGGTGTAATAAAAAGACGATATACTATGATATATTGTTATACAAATTAAGGAGCATTTTTGTTGGTTAAAAACAGAAGGGATGTTAAGGGGATGTATCTACAATATATCCTAATATTTAACTGTGTTATTTCTGAAAAATGCGATGCAATTGTAAGAACTGTGCAAAGAATTATTTCTCTACGTGTTGCATTTGTAGGTGTAGGATATGAAGTACAAAATTTCTCTAAGATTGCTGTTACTTAACCGAGTAATGCTTTTGACGAGAAAAGTTTAGTTTATAAAAATCACATTGTTGCTGAGAACGTAGATTTGGATCGTGTGGGAATGTTATATATTGGTGAATGCTAAAAGGGTTGTGGATTTGGCGTGGCTATGATTTTGTCAAGGTTTTAATGTAAAAATGTGTGTATAAAACATAACGTTGAATAATCGATTGGACATTTTATATATATATCAGAATTTGCTGTTATTTTCATAGTTTGGAAGTTTAAATTGTATTATTTTGTTATTCTTCTTGTGCTTTCGGTAAACCTTCTGCTACTGTGTGTTTTAGCACAAGGAAATGCCTTTTCTGTTCTACGCAGATTAAATAATTTTTTTAAATCTTATATAAAAATAAGTTTTGAATTCCATGTAACTCAATTTTTTTATGATAAATACTATTTAGTATTCTGGTTGGAATTTGACTTCTATGTTTTAAAACTGAAATTGAGTGGTTTTCAAATGATAAAAATATATATGACTCGCGGGACATCGATAGATGAAAGAGAAGCACCTAAATAAATACATTATCGCAGACATTCTTTATAAAGAATTTGACATTTCAATAAAGGTCAAATTATAATTTGTCTATTAAAGTTTAATTTAAGTTTTAATTTAGTCTCTTGTGTCCAAGTTTTCCTTTAACTTTGATCTCTCAACCTTTAGTAATTCAAAAGATATTTCAGTGTTTAATATAAATATGAGTTCATAATAAAACTGATTAACAATTAATGTTTGAAATTTTTTACTCATAACTTTCAACTAACTATTCAGATATTAAATTATTTAATTTATATTGTTAGAATTTGGTGTGTGTATATATATATATATGAACGATTTTGAATAATAATTTTACAGTAAAATATAAAGAAAGTGTAGATAAAAAAATATAAAATATTATTAAATATAGAACTAAAAATTAAAGAAAGACTAAATTAAATAAAAAAAATAAAAAACTAAACTAAAATCTAAAATTATTTACCTCAAATATATCAACTTCTTACTTAATTTACTTACGAGTTTGTTTGGCTGCATTAAAGTGTTTGATAAATAAGCTTATATTTCTATAGCTAATAAACTACGAACTACAATCCATAAATTTGTAGATTTTTTTCTTTGCAATTAAGATAAAAAAATTAGTTTTGATGTTATTTTACAATTATGAGTTACTCTAAGAACTATATGAAATGCATACAGGCTTAAAGATATTAGCTAAGTTTGCTAACAGTCTAAATAGATTAAAAATGACAATTGATAAAAGGTGGGACAGTAATTGTGGCGTTTCCTTTCATGAAAGACTAAACAAAAAGACTTCGATGACAGGACATCGTTTTTATCCCTTGTGACGTATGAAAAGGACATTGCTATCAGCTGTTACTGAGAAATCCGAATATTCAACCAGAGATGCCGACTCAAAGTGCTAAAATGTTTAACGTTTTCAATGAATAAATTAAGTTAATTCCGTTATTTCATCTACTAAAAATTAACTTTACATGTGACATTATATACATCTATATCTTTCGTTCACTTACTGTTTATTTTTTCTATACACGTGCATCTTAAAAATACACTTGAAAGTTACAATAGAACACCTTTAGGTGTCCTATTTCGGATGTACGAGATACATTTTGTTGACCAAAACCAAGCACAAGGCAACATTTCATGCTGAAATGTGGTATGTTAAGTGATCTCATCCGGCTGAAGTACTGTTCCAAGATGGTGATTTATGATAATCTGTTAGCATTGTGGACCTTTTTTAGCTAGGAATAATGCAAAGGGTGTTCCATTTTTAGTGGAATTTGTGGCCAGTGGTGCATTCTTCTTAATGGGACATAGGGTATGGATGTCAAGCATAGAGGGTTTTGCATGTATGATTCTCAAGAAAATATTGGATCTTTGATGTGAAAAAATCCGTTCAACATGGCCTTATGGAACTGCTCATGGCGCATGTTCTTCACCATAATGGAGTGAAAATTAGTTAATCAATTTCCACATACGGCACGAATGGTCTGTTAAGTGATCTTTTGAGGTACTGTTCTTGAGATAGTGGTTTGCAATGGTTCGCATTTGACAGATGCTATAACATGGTAGCAAATGTTCGAGCCAGAAATACTTCAAAGCCCAAATTAAAGAGAATTTTGGACCAATTTGGGTATGGGTGCGTATTGCATACTTTTTAGAGGTTAAATTTCTTATATTTATAGGGATGGGTGTCTTAAATAGATGAGATCCCATCCCTATGACATCATATAAGCGTAAGAGATTTGTCAAGACCACACTATGTTGATATAAACCATACTTCGTGCGGGGGTTAGGTGTACCACCTCATGTCTAGGCATGGTTGATCACAAGATGATACAAGGACAAACCCTTGGTTTAAATTGAGATCATGTAAGCATGGAAGATTTGCCGAGCAGCAAGACCTCTCTATTGATATAAACCATGCTTTGTGCAGGAGTTGGGGGTTCAACCTCGTGTCGAGGTATGGTTGATCACAAGACATACGAGGATGAGCCCTTAGTTTTAGCCTGCGATTCCACATTCCGTCCCATGCTCAGAGATGGGAAAATTTTGACACGTGATGCTGCAAGTTCGTGATAGATCCAAATGTAGTGCCACAGCACGATTAGGGAGATCCTGGTATATTTACATCGGGCAAAGTGGTCATTTCATCCAAGATAGGTATCCACTCGAGGCTAGAGTTGTCATGGTCATTAGGAATCTTGTACTAGTTCCATCTGTAGTGATGTAGGACTCACCCTAGATCAAAATACTAACATTCATTTTTCACCTATTTAAATCGTAATGAATATTAAACATGATCTAAATAACTTTTGTTTTGCTATAAATCCCTGAAGGGCTCAATCCAACAACACCATGCCTAAGAGATCATCACCAACCCCAAAGACATATATGAATCATCAAAATTAGTTGATCTCTAGTGCAAGCCAATTTGTACAAAGACCAAATCTAAATCCATATTTTATGAAAATGAAATACTAAATTATTCTCGAAGTTTCAAACTAGGAAAAAGGGAATGCCATGCCTCAAAAAAGATAAGTTCAATCACCCTTATACCTCCCAATACCATGATAAATAAAATAGAAAAAAAAAAAAAACGAATAGAAAAATCAATATCCTTGACATGCCTCAAAAAAGATAAGTTCAATCACCCTTATACCTCCCAATACCATGATAAATAAAATAGAAAAAAAAAACGAATAGAAAAATCAATATCCTTGACATGCCTCAAAAACAAGACTAAGTTCAATTACCCATCTCCCTATCAATATCATGACAATTTGACAAATAAAAAAGGAGCAGAATAGAAAATTGTATTCACCTTGATTAAAATTAAAATTTCCACTCAATTTGGTTTCATTATTTTCACGGCTACATATATCAACAACAAATTCTATATATTTTCCTGTGAAAATATATTGTAATTTCTCTTTTTTTTTTCCCCCAAATTGATCAAACATTATAATCCAGATCTTGATGAAACCACTAACAACCAAAAAAAGGTAAACTGCCCAACACAATAGAAAAATATCATGTCATTCCATTTAACACAAATGATATCTTTGGATGTTATGTGGAACACTGTTGAGCTCAAGAAATGTAAAATTAATTCAGAAGGAAAGCCTATAGCTCAATAACTACCACTACATAGCACCACATAAACAAGTAAACTATTACTTGCGAGGGCTAATATGGGACATTCTTTGGCAAGTTCCGGATGACATTACTCTTCATCCCTATCTTGGTGCGCATATTCTCCACACCTGACCGATTCATTTCCTTAAGGACTTTCATCCTCACAATTTGCTCCCTTGATTGGAGGGTGGCCAAACCCATGCTCCTGTACCTGAAATAAAAGACAAAGATCCATATCACCATGTGACTTTAATGATATGCTTGCGTGATACACAAGATTTTTGCCTCTAATCATTATAAAGAAATAGTGTAAGGTTAAAAAGGTGAACCTTGAAGCCAATGCTGCAGTGATGGCCATACTATTTACTGGTGATGGTCGTGGTTTTTGACGATAGTAACGCAAAAATTCACGGGAACCAAGTGTTCTGGTTGATATTCTACCACCAGATTTCCTAGTTATTATGAGCTCAGACCCACCAACAAGTTCTACATTGTTTGCTGAATCACCAGATACAACCAGCTGCTTACCTTGCTCATCCACATAACTGAACAAAAGCAAGGGACATTTGCATTTCAGATTGGATGTATTAATAGGCCTTACCAATTTTATAGCGGTGGTTTACAATGAAGGGGAAATTCAAACGAAAACATTTGGAACTAAACTAACCTGCTGCTATAATCATAGAATTCTTCTAACTCTACTTCCTCGTCATCATCATCGTCACCATAATGCACTTTACAGTGACTTTTTGCTGCCATATGTTTCCTGACAGCTTCCAAGCAGCTGAAAGGATAACATCGATCATTGCAGTACAGGCACATGAAGTCCCTTCTGACCTAGAAAATGGAAAATGCTGAAATTAGGACCAAACCAAAGTTTCTTTCTTTATTTTTTTTTTAGGGGGGGGAGGGGGGAGCACAGATTTATACCTTAAGGCCAAGATAGGTGAGAAGGCCTTTTGGATCCTTCAAATACTCAACATCTGGAATGAAGAATCCATGATGCTTGTGCATGTGAGCCATGCAATCTTCTATTGTTTTGTGCTCTTGATCGCACATAAAGCAAGACGATGGATCTAACTCCTCAAAATCATCATCATTTTCATCCATATTATCATCGTTACTACCATGCTCATTTACATTCAAATCAGTCAAGGACTTTGCAGCATCATCAACCAGATCATCTTCAGGATCAACCTCCTCCCATTCATCTTCACTTTCTTCGTTTTCAGGGTTATCAACCTCTCTTCTAGTAGGTGGCCTATTCACAGCACGTTGTGGAAGTGGCTTAATTATTGCCTTTTCATCTGCATGACTAGTTCCTTCAGAAATCCGCATCATATGACCACGTGATTTAAGGTGCTCAGCATGAGCCTTAGAGCTTTTATAATCCTTTCCACAAAGACCACAGCTATAAAGCATTGGGGTTTCACTCGATTTATCTTTCTCTTGAGCTAGAACAGATTGTCTAGCCATAAATAGTGCTTCAGTCACCCCTGGAACCCCAGCTACCTATATACACATTAAAAAAACAAATCACTAAGTAAACCAAGTTATTCAAAAAGAATTGCTCTATGCAATGTCTTTTTAACACTATTTATTTTTAAGTTGCTTGATCCTACCAGTTAAGCTAACTTCGGTTGGAACATCCTCCATATTTCAGCACAACCCATCCACAACAAAATCTACCCAAAAGGCTAGTAACTAAACAATCTTGTTAATATCAATCCTTAACGCTGCCTTAAAGCAACTAAAAGTGAAAGGTTTTTTCTTGAGAAAGAATATTCTTACACTTTCATACTTCCGACTTGAAAAATATTTCCTTTTTCAAGAAAAATATTTTATTTATAGTTGCTCAAAACCAGTCCTTATATTAACAAAACCAAGACAGAAGATAAACAAGATTACACTAACTTTGGAAGAGAAAAAACCAAGACCAAGGCGCAGGGTAAACTTCCAAAGAAGTCCTTGCAGATAAAAAGAAATCAGCTGTCATAAGTTGTTTAGAGCGAAGTTTCATTCATTTTTATACTGATTTTTTCTCTGCCTAAAGTAAGAAACACATAATCAACGAAACTAGCCACTAAAACATTAATTCTTTCTTATGAACACAACAGACAAAAAGAAATATAAGAATTATATGGGCAGCAACACTGAAAAACATAATTTTCATCGGCGTTACTCTCAGTTCACGCATGTTTTCAAATTCTTCAATTTTCTGATTGAGCCATAAAAAAGAACTAGGGTTTAACGAAAAAAAAAAGGGTATCATTAAAATTAAAAAGTAAATGGAAAAAATGAATCGATTACAAAAATTAAGAAAGAAAAGAACCTTGCGCTTGAGGTTGTAGCGATGCCACTCGGACTTGTAATGGAGCTTTTGCTCTGTATCATCTCTGAATTCAGCATTGCAAGCGTTGCACGTTAATCCCGGCATGCTTCAAACTATTTCCAGATATATTTTTTTTTATGATTTTTGTGGAAGTGAAGAAGGGAATGAGGAACAGAGTATATAAAAGAAAGAGGAAACGAAGGATCGTTGATTCGTTCGTTGTCGGCGATACGGTGAAGGAAGGTTAAGCACTCCGCGCTTGCGCAATGGCTTGTGTCATTCTTTTCCATTCTTATTGGGCCTTCGTTTTGGGTCTGTTTAATTAATGTTCTTGGGCTTTCATCAGCAATGTTTCAAGGACATTACCTTTTTTAAAAAAAAAAAACATTTCTGTTCTAAAAATGTTCTTCATTAAGATAAAATAAAAGGGTTCTATTTTTGTCCATTTTTGAACCCAAAGTCGTGAAAATGAAGAACACCCCATGCTCACATTGGCATGTAACAAAATTTACTTTGAACTTGAATGGACTCCATGTTGAATCTTGCCTCAAGTCTAGAGTCTTGGTAAGATATGTTGTGCTGTTGGGACATTATGCTCAAAATAAGATTATCATGTTTTATGCCTTCTTTAGTATCTCTCTCTATTAATTGCCTTTTTTCAACTATTATGAATTATCTAGTTATTATTACTACCTTATTCAAACCCAACAAGTCAAAGTACAAGAAAATGTGCTATTAAGAATTGCTGAGCCATATTGAAAGCCTTAGGGATGCCTCAAATGGCTCAATCCTTAAAGGCCTAATCTAAAATGTCAAGATCATAAAAGGAAAATGTTAAATGCAATGATAAAGAGTATAGATTTAAAGATAAGAAATAATTTAAATTAAATTTTTTAAGGATATGTTTAAGAGAAAGAATTTAGAGGACATATTTTTAATCTTAAATTAAAATAATTATATATCACTTATAATAATAAATGCATAATTAATACATTAAATTTATATCTTTTATTTTGAATAAATATTAATTTTAAATATATTTATTTAAAATATTAAATTTGTCTTTCCTTTTTTTTTTTTTCAAAACTCTTCCTTCCAAAACAACCTTCAAGTAAATAAGGGAGTACAATAAAAATGACAACTTTTAATAATTTTTTAATAAAATACTCCTTTTTGAATCATATATAATTGTACTTAATCTTGTTTAATAATTTACAAAAAAAATTATCTTATTGATAATTGTGTATAATAGTATTTTTTTTATAGAGATTTAATAATTCACACACACATATATGTATATATATATATATATATATATATATATAAAATTTTCTAAGAGAGTCTTTAACAATCAAATTACTTTTTCTTGAAAACTAAGTGTGCAAGACTAATCCAATGATTTGCCTAATATCTTTAGATTAATCAACGTTAGGTGATGTATGTATTTTATAGCATCTTTTTTTAGAAAATAAAATATAACATAATAATTAGAATAACTATTATTTTATTTTTATTTAATTTAGGTGAGTGTATCACTAAAAAGCAACATGATCATTTTATCAATGCTGAAAAGAAAAAGGTCACAAAAAAACACTCATCCAATTTCCTCTACAATATTATAAGTTGTGGGAAGTATGTAATTTCTTTTTTTAACTCTAAAACAACTATTTTTATATATCATTGAACACCACTTTAAGTTAATAGTTGAAAGTCTCTTCTATTTGCTTGTTTTATTCATATTTTTTCAACCCCTTTGTGAAAACTATTTGAATTTATAATATTTTTTCTCCTTTCCAGTGAATTTGTATAACTTGATAAATTAAGTTTACTTGAGGTTAAATAATACAATAAAACACGTGTAATCTCAATCAAATAGATATTACTACTTGTATATCTTAAAAAGAGTGATAGACAAAAAGCCAAATGATATATTTCCATAAAATTGGAATTTGTTAATCAATAAATGAGATTTCAAATTTATATAGTTAGTTTACTACCTTTAACTTAAAAGTTATGTTTTTTGTTTTATACTTATCCTAATAAATAATTTTTTAAAACTCAACAATAAAAAGAGCAAAATATTAAAAAGGAGATGAAATATCAAATGAACTATCATTCAACAGACTATTTAATAATTCAAGTGTCTCAATTAATAATAATTTTTTTTAGTAATGTTTTATCATATGACATTATGACTCAATTATTCTAGTTACACTTCTAAATAGTTATTAATTTATTTATTTTTATTAGTATTAATTATTTTATTCATTAGTAAAACTAAAACCTGTGAGAGAATTATTTTTTGCTATATTTTTGGTTATTTAGTTTTACACTTAAACATTGCTCTTTTAATTTAAGAATTTTAATATATTAGTGATTAAATTTTGATTTGATCTATAATTTTGAAGTGTAAATTTTTTAAAATATTTGCTTTTGGTTTGTCATTTTGAACACATGATAAACAATTGATTTGAAAAGTCATGTGAATCAGTTGAATTTTTATATTTTTAGTTAATAATTATTTTATTTTATTAAAAACTAAAGCAATTGTAACTACATCTTGTGGTGCTCTAAATACTAGATGTCTATCTCATGAATTTTAATTATTATTATTATTATTAATATATTTGAAAGATAATGTTTTAATCATTAATTAAAAATAAATATTAACTAGAAATTATTTTTAAAATATTTTTTATGATAAAAAATATAACACAATCATAAAAATATTTGAATGTCGAATTTTAAAATATTGAAATGCAGTTTCAGGATCCTTTTCTAGCTCTTGTTATATACATTGACACTAACACAACAGTTAATTTCTGCTGGCAAAGGAAAACTTGAGATTGGAGCATTATAAGCCTCTCCATCCCATGAACCTATTTCTCAGTATCAAACCATTCCCCTTAATAATATTGGAGATTTTGGTGTCCACTCTAAGCAATTCTTTTTTCCTTTAAGATTGTCATGATTCTAGAAAGTACTGTCATTATTTTTAGAGCAAATCCTCAATTCTGAGGATTAGGTTGTCGTTTGATTAAATTTTCAATATTTTTGTCATTAAAGTAATGTCTTAAAGATTAAAGTGTTTTTTTATATCACTACTTTCATCTTCCCATATAAACAAATTTGGAGGCTAATTTATTGAAAATCTTTGAAGGACTAATGTTAAATTACCTTAATGTCTGTTGGTTTTATGAAAACTAATTATCATAATTTTTAAGAAAAAAAAAAGATGTTTTAATAAAAATTTATAGGTAAGATCAATTTTGACAAATGCCAATTACATTCATCGGTCTATAATTAATTTTATCAAATTTATTTCATTAAACTTTTAAAAAATAAAACCTTTAATCATTACCGAATCAAATTGAAAATTTGTTCTACTTTGAAAAGTATGGTTATCTCAATTTCAAAATTCCTTTTTGTAGCCTGAAAGCTAGAACAAACAGAGAATCAGGGCACCTCACATTTTGGGCCACTAGTAGTGATGCCCCTTTCAAGAAAAAACAAAAGGCAACAACTCCTATATAAAGCTAAATCCATTTTCTTCTTAGTTATTGGGATCGTTGCATTGATTGATGGTTTCCTTTGGATTATTCAAGTGTTTACTCTTGTTTGAACCCAGAGATAGTCTGAAAAGATTTGTATGCATATGAGTTCATAGCTATATGTCAATATATCAGTAGATATATGCTTATGAGTTATGACCAGGACTTGCTGGAAAAGTGAACACCATATTAGTAGATGTTTTATGGAGGGATTGTTCTATTAGTGTTTTGAGCTTCCTATGGTGGTTTCCTTTTGTACTTTGTCTTTTGGTTGATTTTCTTGTATGGAATTTCTTTTGTTTGTGTTTTCTTTCAGCTTTGTTTTTGTCTCTTTTGGAGGATACCTTATTCTCTCTTGTACATTTCCTCCCTTTTAAATGATAAAATAAGGCAATTACACTCCAAGAGTATAAATTAAGATATGAAAGAATAAGATTAAATATTTCTGTTCATTCTAGTAGAGTTGATGATTTTGATTAATTGAAATATTTTTTATTGTTAATTAAAATTTATTAAAAATTATAAGTTTAGTTAAACTGATTAAATTAGGATTTTAATTTATGTAATTTTATGATTTTCAATAAATTTTAGACAACATTAAAGATTATCTTTAAAAGTACTTAAAGATTATTTTATTAATATTTCTTGTATAATATTTAATATTGAATACTATACAAGTTTTCATTTTTTTTTCCTTAAATGTGCTGTTAGTTTATCATATGGATGGTGAATCTTCATTGCTTAAATTATAAGGATATAGATGAAATTTAAATGCATTTCTAAAAGTTACATTTACTGCAAGTCTTTTCTGAGTCATGACTCAATCATGAGTGATTGGAGTAGCTATTGTGCTTTATGGTCAATTTAAACTTGTACAAGTATACATGTGGCTACTTTCATTCCCTGCCAATTAAATTGCCCTCAATCATCCCATATCATTTTCTCTTGGAAAAGTTTCATGAAAAAGAAAAGAATAAGTTTCATCAAAAGGAAGGAAGTTGTACTCATGCTTTCATGCAAGTGCACACAAAATATGCATGATTGGTACCATAAATAGTGTTGGTGTTGTTCTCTAAATAAAATTGGAGTTTCATTTCAATAACATGTGTCAACCTTTAATACTGATGAATTGATTTTTAATGACTATCATTATTATGTAACATTTCTAAGGTGAAAATCCAATTCTGATTGAAGAAAATATTGTGCTTATGAGAGGAGTTTCATGCAATGTGATTAAAATTTCAATGGCTCTTGTTCTTTCATGACAATGGATAGTGTTTTCCACATGAAACCAATTTAGAATCTTGCTGTGCTACTAAAGCATAATAAGATCTGCCAATCATTTGTTGCTTTTCAATTTTGTGATTGTGAGCCACTGATACCACTGAATGCTGACTTTTTCATTTCCCTCACATGTTTTCCTGCTTTCAGCACATCAAATACTGATATGAATTGCAGCAACCTATGTACTTGCTAAGATTACTTAGGATAGTGCAAAAATAACTCTGGAGCAAGTGCACGGTCTTATGTCTGAGGTGACATGCAATGCTACCCATTTTTTTTGTTTTTTTGGCTATACTGTACCAGCTTAAATTTAAGATCAATTTATTTTTTAAAATGAGAAATGTTGAGAGTAATTAAGGAATAAAATATATTAAAAAAATGCTATTAATGCACTTTATTTTCATATTTTTTAATCAATTCAACTTGATTT